CGAAAGGCAGGATACTATTGGCGTTGTTTCAGTTGAACTACTAGCCGTTACACTTTTTTCATTTTTAGTAACGGCCGTGTCTGTTTGCCCACTGTGTACGACTGGTGTAAATTTAGGGTGGAGAAGTGAGTGATGCCGCTTTTTACAAATACGACAAGAAACATCTATTCTACAATATTTTGCAGAGTGATTAAGCCCTAAACAATTGAGACATAAATTATTATTTAAAACAAATTCATGTTTTTTATTATATTCCTCCTTTGCGAACTTCTTACAAAAACATAGTTTATGGTTTTCTGTACAATATTCACATTGAATATTTTTTGATGACAGAATGTTTGCATGATGAGTGTGTGAGTGTGAATGTTGAGTGTGTGATGAGCGATGGTGTTGAAAGGTAGGTTTTTTATTGTCTAAACATTCCAACGCCCTAAATCGACCCTCTATAAAATTCGAAAATTGTTCATAGGTAGGTAATTCTGTGGAACTGTCACTCGATATATTTAACTCCCACTGCTTACGGGTTTCAAGATCTAATTTATCTGTAAGTATGTATATAATAATAATATCCCAGGTGGCCACATTAATGTTGAGATTTCTCAACGCATTTAGACAATCAGACGTTGTGTCCAATAGGTCCTTTAACCCATTGGCAGATTCTACATTCATACGCCTTTGGTTAAATAAACGTTTTAAAGTACAATTTGTTAGGTATTTTTTGTTATCATACCTTTTTTGTAATAATGTCCAACACTGACTGTAGTTTAATTCAGTAATAGGTATATGCCTGACTAATTGTTCGGCTTCACCTGTTAAAAAACCCTTTAAATACTTAAGTTTATGTACATCATCAAAGGATCTATTATTATGCACTAAAGATGTGAATAAATCCCTAAAGGTGGGCCACTCAGTATACTTTCCCGAAAACGGATTAATAGTAATTTTTGGTAACTTAACCAACGAGCCTTTTGACTCAGCTTCATTATTTTTAGAACTATTTTGATCATTTTTCTCAACTTTATATTTAGCTAAATCAGTTGTTCATTTACATTTATATTCTACATAACACTCTTCAACTTTATCATATAAATCATCATATTTAATATCCTTTAAATCATCCCTTTTTGTACCTTTTATTAAGCAATCATGAGTTGTTAAAAACTTCGACCATAATTCTTCTAATATTCCTAATCTAGCTTCAATATACTGTTGATTAATACGATCTTTAGGTGATTTACTATAATTCATTTTAGCATTTCTTATTCTAACTTCAACATCTTCTTGTACTTTAAATAAAGCCTGCATTTTCTTAAATTGATTTAGATTTTTAAAATAAAATAAATATTTTAATGATGAAAAACTATATAAAGTTATGTTTAAGGCAAAATAAACTCTTAAAATTTACAAGTCCATACAATGAACTTTGAAAAATTTACAAGTGTCGTTAGAAGATCACAAAATTTTCTAAGTCTTATGAATAAATTTATAAATATTTTACAAGTGTTTTTGACTTGAAATGAAATCGGACATAGATTCCTCGTATGAACCAAATTTCTTAAAATTACTCTAAGTCAAAACTACTAACTAAATTTTACAAGTTATTTTGCTAAAGTATCTAAGATTCAAATTGCTATGTCTACTATTTTTAATCTACTATTACCACTAAATGAACTGTTTTTCAATTGCACATAAGGTTTAAATTACCGAAATTGTACTCACGATTAGTTGTCCCACTCACTCTTGCTTCCTATGTTAACAACACTTAATCACTTCACTCACTGCAACTTCACCTTTCCGCCTCCCCACGCACCTCTCCTGACGATTTCCTCTGGAACACCGCCTGCCGTCTGTCAGTGAACGAACGAGTGCCGCCCACCGTGACGACTGCTTCTTCCTGACTTCTATGAGCCAGAACCGCCACACCTTATAAGTAACGATCCGCTACTTCTGGGTGCGGGGGTGTGATTCCAATCCGGAATCACCGATTACAAAAATCTGTCTTTGACAGTTCCTTCCGGCTTACGATGGACCATGAATACGATCGTACGTAGCGGGCTAAATACCTATTGGTACTTTTAAATAAAACCAACAGATATCTTGATTAAGTATATGTATTACTTTCTTCCAATATCGTTCACTTCTTTATAAAGCATACAAGATACCTTATGCTATTAATAAACACAGAACCATATCGCGTGATAATCTGCTACTAGCGACATCTATTGTTCACAAATAAAATTACAACACTTTATATTGATTTGTTTTACATACGAATCGTGAACAACGGTACCTATAACAAAGACACAACTTTTAAAAATTTTGTCTGTCTGTCTGTCTGTCTGTTTGTTCTGGCTAATCTCCGAAACGGCTGGACCGATTTTGACTGGGCTGTCAAGTGGCTAGGCTCAGAAGTTTACGGAGCGATTAGTTTGCCGCGAAACCCAAAAGCGAACTTAAAGTATCCTCAAAATATATTTCCCTTGGTTCCCAATTCTTCAAGAAATACATTGTCACTTCAGCCTATTGATCCACTGGCCTTTATCAGTTACTCTTCTTCGTCTGCGGATATCCTCAATACGTATTTTATCATGCAAATAAACTCCGAGCCCTCTCCATAGCTCGATGAGTTACTTGTGAGTTCCCACTTATTTTATTTCTTCATTTATATCCACCGATGGCTATTGCCTTTTTTTATAGGAGAGAGGGCAAACGAGCATGCGGCCCACCCGATGGTAAGTGACTACCGCCGCCCATGGAAAACTGTAACACCAGGGTAATTGCAGATGCGTTGCCTGCCTTTTATAAAGGAGTAAGCTCTTTTCTTGAAGGTCCATAATTAATAATTTGTATCGGTCCGGAAAAATAGCTGGCGGTAATCGATTCCACAAGGAACTTGTACGAGGGAAAAAGTTCTTCTAAATCACACAATGGTGGACCGCCAATCATCCAGATGGTATGGATGGTATTACGAGATTTGTCGCGATGTGCGATGGTGAAATTGAGCAACTGGAAATAGTCCGAACAATTCCTCAGAGCACTCCCCGTGATATATGCGATAAAATACGCAAAAAGATGCAAAATCTCTACGCACTGCCAGTAAGTCAAGCCGATCGGAAAGAACTCGGTCGTCAACGATTCGAACCGCCCTGCGCTGGATGCGATCAAGTGGAAGGAGCTGGCACTGAGGAGCCCCTGCCCAGAAATAGGAACAGTATTCCATGAGAGGCCGAACCTGCGCCTTGTAGATTTGCAAACGGTGTGCCGGCATGAAATATTGTCCCGCCCTGATGAGCACGCCAAGCATTTTAGAAACCAATTTGGCCTTCTCTTCCAAGTGACCACGAAACTGCACGTCACTCAATATGGGTCTTGATAGATAGACAGACTGACAGACAGACAGACAAACGGACAACAAAGTGATCCTATAATGGTTCCGTTTTTTTCTTTTGAGGTACGGAGGGTTCCGTTTCAAAAGTTATTATTAGAGGTAAACTAGATTTAGTCGCCCCCAATCTGAGACTTTGTTCAGCAAAGACTCGACTTCAGACACAAGTTTGTTCCGGTACTCGGCGACGTTTTCCCGAGAAATATTGGCACGGCCGGTATAGAGCATCACCAGTGCTGTCATCCGCATAGCAATGAATGTTACCAGTTAGCAACATATCATTGATATGCAGAAGAAACATCTATGAGTTAAGTAATCTAGAAGATCACCAGCTGAGCGACCTCGACGGAAACTGCATTTACTGGCTGTACAAAGGCTGTATACGCGCTTATACAGCTCTTATAAGTAAAAAATTGGCACAACTTATACAGCTTTATGCGTTAGTAGCGCTGTACAGTAGCTGTACAAACATAAAAGAGGTTGTATAATTGCTATATTATATATATAGCATGCGTTGTGTTACAAAAAAGTTAAACAAATTTAATAAAATTATGTTAACTAAGAACAAAAAGAAAATAAATAAAAGCTGATTTGTACAACTGCAGTTTAACGTGCGTCAACATGCTTAAGTTTGGTCATAAATTGAGTGAGGGTATCATAGTAAATGTCAAGGTCGGGTATATTTTGGTGAGCTTGTTGTACAGACGAGATATACGGATCACTGGGGAGTCACGACCCAAGTTTGTCCTACAAAATTTGTTCTTAAAAGACTGCACGGATATCTTGGTATTCTGGATGGTACGTTAAATTGGAATTTGTACAATAAAGCGGCACAGTCTATGTGATTTTTTACAATTTTATGTAGGAGTGACATGTCTAAGTGATTTCGGCGTAAAGCAAGGGGTTCTAGTTGAAAATGCTTAATTTTTTCACTATAGGTTTTGATATTTCTTGGAATACCAAAACGGTAGGTTAAGCTACGAATTACTTTCTTTTGAACTTTTTCGATCCTGTCTATGTGAGTTTTATAAGTAGGACACCATACTGTGCTGCAATACTCGAGCTTGCTCCTTACAAAACTGTTGTAAAGCTGAATAACAGTTGCTGGTTTTTTAAAATCCCTTGAGTTTCTCAATATAAAGCCTAGTGACCTATTTGCTTCCCTCACTATCTTGTCAATATGGTCCGAAAACTTCAAATTGCTATCCATTATGACACCAAGATCTCGAATAGTAGTCACTTCTTTCAACTTAGTGCCTGCTATTGTGTATTTCGACTGAAATTTATTACGTTTTCTGCTGTACTTAATGTGACAGCATTTCGCAGCATTTAGGAACATTTTACTATTGTTACACCATTCCTAAAGATTATTAATGTCTTCCTGGAGATGTTGGGCATCTGAAGCTGTTGATACCGTTTTCGTGATTTTAAGGTCGTCAGCAAAAAGATATACATCTCTGTGGTTAATCACACGTGTTATGTCATTGACAACAATGTTAAATAACAACGGTCCTAAAATCGAGCCCTGGAGCACTCCTGCTAGAAATAGTCTCGATTCGAAATGCTTCAATTAGCCTCGATTGTTCGCCATCAATTACCACCCTGGAAAAGCGATTTAAAAAGTAAGATTTACACCATTCCAGTAGGTTATCTGTAACCCCAAATAAATGTAATTATGAAGCAAGATGCTGTGGTTCACTTTATCAAAGGCTTTTGAAAAATCTGTATAGATGGCGTCAACTTGTAAGCCTTGATCTACTTTTTCTTTTATATCAGAGGTGAAGAGAATAAGGTTAGTGTTGGTTGACCTTCTTGACATAAAACCATGCTGATTTTCGATAATGTATTTTTGAGTATGCCGATAAATTGCAGAGTGAACTAATGACTCAAATACTTTCGATACTGCTGACAAGATAGATATTGGACGGTAGTTAACTACTAAGTCTTTTGCTCCATTCTTAAATATAGGTACTACTCTAGCTAGTTTCCATTCATCGGGGAATATGCCCATTTTGAGAGATCGATTGTATAGAAAAGTTAGTGGAAAAGTCAAGGCATCTGCACAGTTTATTAAAAATAGTGGATGTATATTATCTGGGTCTGCCCCCTTTGTGATATCTAGCTTTTTCAGTTTATTTTTAACATCCTCTGGTTTAAATTGAATTTCCCCGATAACATCATTTATCATACACATATCACAATTAATTGAATTATTGTCGTTAAGATCTCTTTCATATATTGAAGAAAAATGAGATGCAAACATGTCCGCTATTAGCTTTGTATCTGATGATGTATCATGCTTAACGGTCATGGTATTAGGATATGATGAGCAGTTCTTACGTAGATTTTTGATGTGCGTCCAAAACTGTTTGGGGTTGGTTTTAATATCTGTTTCTATTGCATTTATGTATTTATTATAGCACTCTTTCATCACCTTATTACAGTTTTCTCTTAAACATTCAAATTCTATTTGATCTAGTGGATTTTTATACTTTTTAATTTTTTATGGTATCTATATTTTTGTCTTAAAAGATTGATTAAATGAGAAGAGTACCACACAGGATAAGAATCATGAACGGATTTAGTCATATGAATATGCTTTTCAATTGCATAGTTTAGCAGTTCATAAAATCTTTTTACCATTTTATTAGGATTACTAAAGGAATTAAATTTATCCTCCCATGACACCGATTCTAGATAAGTATTTATAGAGTTATAGTCACCTTTATAAAAATTACGTTTGGTAGGACGTACTTTTCTATTGCTTTCCAATAAGATTTTCATTTTAATTACAAGTGGAGGATGAAACTTGTCAATATTTCTTACAGGATCTTGTGTCTCCACAACATCCAAGACTTCTTTATTGCAAAGTATCAAATCTAATATCTTATTTTTTATGTTTGTTACACATTTAAATTGTTTTAAGTTATTGAGACTTATAAAATCAATAAATTTACACAAAAGTTCATTGCCACCAAATCCTGATGGTAACATATGATTAAAGGTGTTGTTTCTATGATTGCCTAGCCAAGTTATTCCACTCAAATTGAAGTCACAGGCAATAAGTGTGTACTCCCTATCAGTTCGGGATCCCAGTATACCATTTGCTTTATCTATAAAAATGTCTAAAGTATGTTTAGTGACTCGAGGGGGTAAATACACAGCGCATAGTAGTATTTTAACTGGGTTTTTGGTAGAGTTAGATGTAACCGACACCCAAACATCTTCACAATCAGTTTCCCACTCTACAATACGCCTTAACGCGAGTCGTTCGGATACAGCAATAAGCACACCTCCGCCCTTTTTCAACCCTGATAGAGGAGAGGTTTCACGGTCTCGTCTGTAAACAACATAGCCACTGGCAAATATTTCAGCATCATAGCAACCGTTATTGAGCCAGGTTTCTGTGAATATATTAACATCGTATTTGCTATTAATAATATGTTGACGTACCTCTACTGCATTTGTGTTTAAGCCTCTTACCTTTTGGTAATATATGCTTAAATGATCTAACAACATACAAGTTAATCAAACAAAACAGATTATACAAAATTAAAAAATTAAAAAAATACCTAAGTGTATAGCACTAAGTTTACTATGACAACTAATTTAATTCAGACAATTCTTGGATGTTTTTTATTAATTTGTACTCAGATGTTTCAGTCTTATGCATAAATATTCTTCCTCCCCAGACCCAGACAAATTTGTAGTTGAGTTCTTTTGCCTTAGATCTCGCTACAGCATGTATTTCCTTTTGGGCGGGTGACAGATGTTCTACGACAAATACTGGCTGCTTGTCACCGCCAATGCCGAGATGAATACTATTGAGTTTTTCACTCCGACTCTTAGCAGTTTTGTTAAATCTATGTGTAGCAGCTAAAAAATTATTACGTAATCTTGGGGAACCAAATTTTATTACAACAGATCTAGGATGTCGGCTATCCATATTTACTTTAGCTACTCTAGTGCACAGTTGAATATCTGATTCCTCCAACTTACAGTTAACTATGCTGGCAAATTGTTTAACAATTGTGATTAAATTTTCAGATTTATGTTCAGGGATATTTTGTATTTCGAGATTGCTGGCCCTGGAATGTTGTTCAAGTCGAGTAAGTCTGTAGTTAAGGTTGATGATTGTACTTCGCAGTGTTGTATTTTCAGATTCTAATATATTAATTTTCTTGCAATTGGATTGCACTTCGTTTTGAACATGTTCTAGTTGACTTTCAACTTTGGACATAGACTCAGATATTTGATTGAATTTATCGAGAATTTCCTTTGTTTTTAACTATAACTGTTTAATTATGTTGGTTTTGAAACTTTCGAAAATACATTCAAGCTCTTTTCTAACAATTTGCCGTATGCTATCGGCTGATACTTCCGCCTTTTGTACTGTATCCCTTCTTAAGTTTACATTTGTTGAGAAGTCCTCACTGTCCGACTCAGGTTGACTTGTAGTTGCTTTAATTGGTGTGTCAGTATTGTCAAATTTTGGTATCTTACTACGGCAACATGGACAAGTCCATTTAGATTTTAATTCCTCCTGTCTTTTAATGATTTTTTTATGTTGACACAGTTAAGATGATATTTAATTTTATAGGAGTAACAGCTTAATGTATTACGTGTTAACGTCTGTCTTTCACAACATCCAAATTTCACTCTTGCTTGTGGCATGATTGCTTAAATGAGCTAAAAGTAGTATACTTCGTTTTTGTCGTCATATAAAACCGAACGCAGCACAAAAGCAAGTGAAATTACTCATTTGAACGATGCACAAAGCAATATGATAATATTATTTTATGACTCACACACAGCAACGAGACGCGGTAACTCGAAGCGATGCATACAGCAATCGTTATTTGACTTAATTTCGAAATTAATTTGTTTGTTAACTTCGAATACTTTATAGGTTGAAGTAAGTTATTTACACTATAAGTTAGGTCACTTAGTTAACTGTATGTTTATGCAAAAAATTAGACGTTTTAACAAAACTTTACCACTGTATTATTTATTACTTCACGAAGTAAATAAAACATGCCTATATTGTTTGACTACCCGAACCAGTATATCATATATGTGGTTTATGGTGCTTTTCGGAAACTAACTTGTTCGGGAGGCTGGAAGTCGTCAAGTCTGCGCGCAAGACGATTCGTAATGACTTCCGAAAACAGCACGTAGACGCGGCTCAGAAAGGAAATCGGTCTAAGGTTTTTCAAGTGAGCGTTGTCACCTTTCTTGAAGAACAAGACCACCGCTTTTCTGCTCCACGCCTTTGGTGTAATGTCACCATGGAGGACGGAATTAAAGAACTTCGGAAGGACTTCAAGTACCGGTTTTTCATCCGTTTTCAGAAGCTTCGCTGTATTTCCATCCTCGCCTGGGGGCCTTGCCGTTTCTTAAGGTGCTGGGGAGCCATTCTAATCTCGCTCAGACTGACGTTCGGGATATCATCGGAATAGTGTCGAATAAGACTCGCTCTTGGATCGTTACTCACACTTGCGTGTGGCTCTAACGATGATGTGTACAGCTGCCCATAGAACCTCTCAATCTCACTTAAAATCTCAGGCGTCTCGGAAACGACGCTGCCACACTCAGTCTTCAGCTTTGATGGTTGGCTCTTTCTGGCAGACAGATCTCTAGCAAAGACTCTGGAGCCCTGGTTTCGCTCGATTGCTTCTTCAATACGAGCAGTATTAAAGTTGCGTAAGTCCCGCCGCATACATTTGGAGATCTGTCTGTTCAGTTGCCCGTATGCTGTCAAATCTAATGAAGACTGCAGCTTCATATCTTGTCTAAAAGCCATGAGATTAAGAAAGTGATCGGAGAATTTTTGTGTTCTTCTGCGGTGGGTCTTGCAAAACTTAGCTCCGAACGCATGGAGAGTTTCCACAAGCTTATCCTTTATATCTTCCACTGCATTGCAATCTTCTTGGCACTGAAAACGGTTTCATTGCTCGAGCTGAAAGGTTTCGGGACATTGGATTAGAGCACGAGGGGGACGGAGCGTTTACTTTATTAGACGTGACCTCTCCAACTTAACGTTTAGGTTCAGTGTGCCTCTCACCATTTGGTGATCGCTGCTGGTTTTTATCCTCGTGATCACAGATATCACTGAACAGTTGTCATCTGGTGGTCGTAATGAAGTCAATCTCAAAATGGAATTTATCGGGATTAGAATTCCTGTACGCGGCTAAATGTTCTTTAAAACGTTTGACCTTCACCACTCCACGAATGCCTCGCTGTTTACGCTGTTTTTTTAGTTTATTAAATTCTAACCACTGGTTTAATTAACGCCAATTAGAATTTTTAATTAGGTTACGACGACTGAAGAATTCAACATGAGCAATTTTATCGCCCATGCGGTGTTCAATTTCAAATTAAAAATTTTGCAAGAAGGCTCACCATTTATGTATTCTGGGAGTTAGGTCTTGTTTGTGACTCGAAGCTTTTAAGGAATTGCAGTCTGTAACTACATTAAATGAACGGCTATGAAGGAAATCGCTAAAATATTTTATAGCCTTAACTGCAGCAAGAGTCTCTAGTTCATACGAGTGAATTTACTCTCTGTATCTAAAGTCCTCATACTAAAATAAGCTAATATTAAAGGATATCTGTCTTGTCTCTGAATTAGTACGGTGGCATAACAAATTGATCTGGCATCTGTATGTAGCTCAGTTGGCAGATTTGGGTCAAAAATAGTTAAATCTGGGGAATATGTGAGTATGTTAATTATTTCTCGTGGAGCAAGTTCATCTCGTTCAGTCCAATTAAAATAAACTTTTGCTTTAGTAAGGTTTTAGAGAAATTGGGTTAAATTGCCTAACTTCTTTTATGTTTTTAGGTGATGAAGAGTCAGTAAGAGCCTGAGGTTTTCATGGGCTTGATCTTATAGTGTCATTTTCAATAATGTTACCAAGATATTCAATTTTAAGTTTGAGGAAAGAACATTTGGAAACATTTAGAGAAAACCAACCTGAGTTAATCTAGACAAAACAAGAATGAAATTTATGAAACCTTGTTACACAGATTCAGATACAACCAAAATATCGTCAACATGAACTAAAGCAATATTATGTTTATAATCACCTAAGGCGGCATTTCAAAGTATTGCAAAGACCGAATGGTATTCAAAGATATTCAAACTCTTTATCCGGCTCTCCTCCTATAGAAGAATACCGTAGAAATTAGATGCCATATCTCAGCAACAATAATATCAAGCTTTGCCTGATCTATCATTTTGGTCTGCTATAAGGGATAAAGGATAATTGTTTCCAACGGTATTTGAATTTAACTTTCGGAAATCAACGCAAGTCGTGGCATGCCGTCCTTTTTCTTGACTAATAATATAAGGTTGCTGAACAGGGACTCTCTTATTATGTCATTTTCTTTTAAGTTTTTAATAATATCCCGGATTTTCTCACGTTCCACATG